ACTACACAGTAGTAGTGCAGCCATAAGTTAAATATTAATAAAACAGTGGCCTTGCTGCAGATCATTCTTCATCGATTTTTTTGGACCGATTCTTCATCGATTTAGCCATTCATTTGAAGAGTTCCGGCCTTCTTTACATACGTCACACAAACAGATCAGCATGTGTGCCATCTGGAGCCCATCCTCTCAAGGCGGTACATCATCCTGGAAGGAATGCAGTTTTGTGAAAAAACCTGTGCCAAAGAAAATTGCAGTATTGTGGAGTAAGAACATAATAGTGCGGACCTGTGATAGTTCGCACAAAAGAAATGCAGATTTGCGACGTCTACTCAAAACCATGATGCTAGGTTGAGAACTTATCGTCTCAGGTTTATCACTGAATTTGGCAGACAATGTAACTTCTCTTTTCAGACCACTACTGAGGTCACAAACTATAAACCGATACAAAAGAACACGCGTTAATGGATAGGACGCAGCTGTTCTACACCCGAGCTCACATGAGCTTGGGTGAACAGTAAAATCCAAAAAAATGTTTAAAAATGTTTTTTTCCAAGAAATATTGATTGTTTTTCAGCACGTGTGCAAATATTCGCTATGGAATCACAAGACTGGAGCATCGATTTTTTTACGCACACCTACATGAATGTGGTTTCGTTGTGAAATTTTGCATGCAAAATATTGAAAAAACATAACTGTTTTGTGGCAAAAAAAATCAGCTTTTTTGATTTTTTAACCAATGCTACTGTCATATCCCAAAATGACTAAAAAGAGTTATAATTTTTAGGATCGGAGAGAGTAGAACTGAAAATAAGCATTGTAGGCCTTAGAGCATCTCCAGCCGCGCCCCAACAGCCCCCCTCCCCTCTAGGCGAATTTTTAGCGCCGGCGACCGAAAATCGGCCTAGTCGCGCCCCCACGATCTCATTTAGCGCCGGTTTGGCCCGAATTAACATCCGGCGACCCCGAGCCGAACCCAAGCGCCTGGGGGCGCCGACAGAAGCGAAAAGGGGCGTGGGGCCGCTTTGTCGGCGAGAGGAGGCCCTTTTCCCGCCGTTTCCTCGCGCTTTCCCCCTCGGCTTCCCTCTCATTCTCCATTCCTCCCGCCAATCTTCTCCTCCTCCCTTCCAAGCCGATCGTCATACCGTCGAAGAAGTATGTGGTCCCCCGCGCTGCGACGGATACCACCGCCGCCGTCACCCAGCCGAAGTAGAGAAAGCAGAGGGCGCCGCTGTCCAAGCCCCCGGGCATGTCTAACACCGACTGGAAGGCGGAAGTTCAGCGCCGGGAGGCTGCCACCACCGGCAGGCGGAACAGGGCCAAGAAGGCCCGGGACAGGGCCGAGCAGGCGAAGCGCTCGGCCAAACAAACCGAGGCGGCTCGCACGGGGATGATGAATCCACCCAGCAGCCACGGCCCGTACGCGTCCTGGAGCCAGCAAAGCGTCGGATCTCAGGCGGCTTCTCGTCGTCGCCACAACCCTGGAGCTGCACACCGTCGCTGGGCTACGCCGACGGTGACACACACGGCGGGTTCAACCCCAACATCACCTTCCCCCATGGTCACCCGGCCCAGCGCACGCCCTCACCCGCCTTCGCCGGCGTGCAGTACCCTCCGTACACCTACTCGCCATCGGCGTACGCAGCCTCCCCGACGCCACCTCTCCGTCGTTGCGCGCTGCTCTTCTCACAAGCCTCATCACCACATCTCGGCGGCACCGACGCGACGGAGGCTGACATGGAAGACAACATCACGACCGTCTCGGCCGCTGCCGCCGCCTCCCCTGGGTTCACTGCCCAAGACGACACAATGGACCTCAACGGCGACATGGACGGCGAGCTTGACTACGGCGAGGAAGAGCCAGAGGAGGAGGAGGATCCGGCGCTTGCTCCGGCGAGGAAAGGGAAGAAGAAGAAGAAGCGGGCGGCTAGGACCGGCAAGCCGCGCATCAAGTGGGAATCCAAGGAGGACGAGTGCCTCGCCGAAGCATGGAAAGTCCTCTGCCTCGACCCGATCACCGGCACGAACCAGAGCGTCGACACGTATTGGGACCACATCAAGGCCGAGTTCGACGAGCGCAAGCTCGTCGACCCCTACTTCAAAGACGTCTACATGCAACGCGGGTCGAAGGCAATGGCGAACCATTGGGGGCTCATCCAAACGGCGTGCAACAAATAACATGGGATCGTCGAGGAGAACGCGGCTCGCCCGGAGAGCAGCGCCAGCGTTGAGGATCAGGTATAGCACACCGGCCTCTCCCTTTTCTTTTTGCCGTGTGCGCGCCCGCCGATTGATGTTCCTCAGCGCAGCTGCTGCGGATGTTCGCCATGTTTCGTCAGGACAACAGCGACCAAGAGTTCAAGTACCTCCACGTCTTCAAGCGGATCGACAAGTGCAAGAAGTGGGCGGATGTCCTGCGCACCCTCTCCAAGGCCAAGGAGACGTACAAGCCGAACGCGTCGACGCCGGGCGCGGCCGACGGGCGCCCGGACGACAACAAAGGGGCCAAGAAGGCGAAACACGCCGAGCCGACTACCACACGTGTGCAAGAGTCCATCGAGCATTGCCTCGCCGACGTCAAGACCAGGGCCGCCCTGCGGAAGAGAAAACCGAGGCCGTGGTCGGCGTTGATGACAAACATCGCCGTCAAACTCGACTTGCTCCGGACCAACATCGCCGCGAAGAAGAGACACACTGACCTGCCTTTCCTAATGGGCGGCACAGACGTGCTCCAGAGCGGCGACGAGAAGCTCAAGGCATGGTACCTGGCGGAGCGCGGCCTCATCCTGAACCAGATACCGGCGACGCCGACGCCAACTCACACGCCGACGCCAACGCCGCTGCCAAGCCCGAGTGATGATGCCTCCGCGACTCCCAGCAGCACAAACGCCGCGCCGACGCCGCCCGGTCCGCGCACGCCGACTCCTCAAACGCTGGAGGCCGACACCGCCGTTTGATACATTACCTGCGTGTCCTTTCTTTTTGTACGCCGAACTTTTTATTTGATCGCCGAACTGTGGTAAGGTGATGATCGCCGAACTATGGCGCCGATCGCCGGGCTTGTGGCGTTTTTTGGGAACGGGAATGGACCAAGTTTGAATTTGCGGCGCGTTGGGGGCGGCACCTGGTGGCGTGGCTCGGGCCTTGATCGCCCCCAGGGCCTAAAAATCGCCGGGTGAGCGCCCGAAAGAGCGCCGGCCTATGCGCTGGGACCGAACGAGTGGAGATGCTCTTATCAAAACAAGAAATGCTCTAAATTAAGCCTAAAAAAAGAAATGCTCTAAATTACACGAAGGCCCAACTAGGCAGTGGCAGTTGATTTGTTGAGTAGCAGCGATTCGAGTCGAACGGGAGCGTTCCACTCTTCAGTGGCCTGGCCTGGCCTCGATGAAGGCCCCACGTCGCAGTGACACAGATGCGCAACTTGAACAGGAAATACCAATCCACAAGTCTCGGTTACCTTTTGTGGCGAACGTCGGCAGCTATAGGCAGCGCCAACACGAGCTAAGCGATGCTCCGCGCCTGCGGCGCCGCGGCTCCGGCGTCTGTGCCCGCCCTCGTCAGGGCGCGCCTCGCGAGGCCCGCCTCCGCCTCCGCCGTCGCCTCCTCCTCCGCCCTGGAAGAGCTCGCCGCCGACCGCAAAGGTCCACGCTCTTTACTCATCTCGCGCCCGCCCTCGCCTAGTCTCTGCCGGCATTCTGTCGAACGGCTTTACTATCGTCCTCTCCCCCGCCGCGGGGCTCGTTTCTGCTCGTCCTCCCGTGCGGCGAGGTTTGTGCTCGTCCCTTCTATCCTCCGTGTGGCGGCGAATGGGAGCGCCATGGCGACGAGCTGTTTGTTGAAACGACCAAGTGAACCGCGCCATTTGTTTCCCGTGCTGCGTTTCGATCTGGTTAGGGGCCGGCCGTTTGCCAATGCGTACATTTCCTGAGCTTGGACGCTCATTGCTTGGTACAGTTGTAGCGAGTGGTAAATAACTGTAAATGTTTGGTCATTGTTTCATCTTTCATGGCCTGGTATGAGGACCTATATTGCCAATTTTACTTGCTCATAATCCTCCAAGTCGGAGATTGTCAATTGTTAAAAGTTCTACTCCTCCCGAAGGGCATTTATGGTAACAACAGCTAGAAACGATGGTAATTACAGTCTCCTAAAAATGGTTCATCACTCGTTTAAATTAGTTTCACGAAAGAGTGGTATGCATCACCACAAAGTGGAATGATGGGCCTTGTCCAAATAGTTGGCTAGATTTCATCCACAACGCTGAAATCAATTAATCAAGCATCTCCCATTCCGCTTGTTTGGGTTAAGCATAGGTTATGGCCAGTAGGCACTTCTTTCTTTCCTTCGCTCGACCAGAAGTACTCCCTCTGTCCCAAGATAAGTGTCTTTGATTTAGTACACTTATTTTGGGACAGAGGGAGTATATACTAACATCCAAGCACCTTTTTTAGGTTTGGCGAGGGTGGTACTAAAGAAGGGCAAGACTCAGATATTCCGAGATGGGAGTCCAATGGTCTACAGTGGTGCGGTTGATAGAATAATTGGCCGACCTCCCCCAAAAACTGGTGATGTTGTTTTGGTAGCTGATGGGTCAGAGAAACCTATCGGGTGGGGTGTCTATAACTCCGTGTCTATGTTTTGTGTTCGGCTAATGCAACTAGAAGAAGAGGCAAAAAGGTGAACAATTGTTGAGGTTCTATGGTTACTGAAAGTTTGAGAGCTTGTGCTGAATATCCCCTATTTTTGCTTTGCTCAGAGATCCAGCCTCTGCACTAAATATGGAAAGACTGCTCGAAGAAAGACTTTGTTCTGCGGTGGATTTACGGCGTAGTTTGGGTTTCCCCTCAACTAATACAAATGCTTACCGTCTCATCAATAGTGAAGGCGACAGGTATAAACTGTTCTCCATTGCTATACTTTAGTTAGCAAAGAAACCACCTTGATATCCATCATTGAAAGGAGCATAGTTAGTTCACCATTCAGCACCACTTTTTAGTTCCAGTATATATGGGTCTCCAAATAGTTCAACTTTGTATCTCAATATCTTTGTATAAACAATGGATAGTTATATTGCCCTGTGTATTTTTGATATGTGCAGCAGAGAATACTGATCTTGAGCATTGAATGACTTGTATTTTTCTCTCTCTCCGGAACCTTGCCTGTTGTCTCATTCTTGTATTCATGCATAGTATTGCAACTATCAATATTCAATGTTTTGAAATGCAGATTATCTGGTCTGATAGTGGATATATTTGCTGATGTTGCTGTGATTGCTTCATCTGCTGCTTGGGTTGAGAAATATAGGCAACAAATCCAGTCCCTTGTTAGCAAAGTTAGTGATGTTAAACATATAAAGTGGAGGTCATCAACTGATATTCTAAAAGAGGAAGGATTAGATATGTCAGAACAAAAAGAACCTGCACCCTCTTCATACTCTGGAACTGTGAAGGTGAGCCTGCTGACTTAAATGTTTTTAAAGGAAATTAGGAAATTTGATTTTAAAACTTTACAAATTATGGTTCAATGTACCTATTTTTAGCAAGTCATGGTACATGCGGTTCAGCTTAAAAAAATGCGAGGAGGTTAGCTCCAATTCGAGTATATTTTTTGCCTTTGCCATATTTGTTTTTGAACCGGGTTTGTCATACTCAATTAATATAGCAAGTTAGCAACTACAGCTAGTGTAAAGAGACTGACGGTGTGTGCGGTTGTGCGGGACTAAACGCAGCATTGCAGTAGCTTCACTCATAGTATTTGTCAATCTTCTCTACCTGCTATGTTGCATACTTGTGTTGCTCTTAGTTCCAACACTTGTGTGCTTTTCTTACGTCCAGGTTATGGAAAATGGCATCGTCTATCTAGTCTCTATGGAGGGGCAGAAGACAGGTTTTTATGCAGATCAACGGGAAAGTCGCCACTTCATATCCACACTCTCGAAGGACCAGAGGGTTCTTGACCTTTGCTGTTACAGTGGTGGTTTTGCGCTTAGTGCAGCCAAGGGCGGTGCAACTAATGTTACTGGTATAGTGCTGCAAGCTAGTGGACCTTTTAGTCCTCCGTTCAGATGCTCTGAAGTTCATCACAGTTGAATTATAGTTTAGTTGTATCATTAATTTGGAAAACCCACAACAGTGTGTCCTTTTTAGTATCACTTTATAACACTCTACAGGTTTGGGCTGTAAAAACGACAATCTGACTAGTACCATTTTCAGGCATTGATTCATCAGGATCTGCACTAGATCTTGCCAACGAGAATATTCTTCTGAATAAGCTTGATGCTGAGAGAATTTCGTTCTTAAAAGAAGATGCAACTGCATTCATGAAAGGTGCTATCTCAAGAAATGAGCTGTGGGACTTGGTAATCCTGGATCCTCCAAAGTTGGCACCTCGGAAGAAGGTATACATCCCATGAAGCATCTGCCTGTAGTTGCTAATTTGGCTTGATTATCATTTCATCTTTGATGTGATCATGTGAAGTTCTGAAGCATGTTATACATCAAGAAGTTCATGGATCATTTGTACAGGCCTCAGTAGGCATCTAACTAAACTTGCTCTTTAGTACTTACCCTGAACATCAGCAAAACCCTTTATCCCACTCACAGACTGTCTGTACACTTGAAGTCTTGAACCAACAATTGTTCTATGTAAGTGAAGGAGGATTCTCTGTTGTATTTGTAGGTGCTACAAAGTGCATCCGGTATGTACAGAAGCCTGAATGCTCTTGCAATGCAAGTGGTAAAGCCAGGGGGGTTACTCATGACATGCTCTTGTTCTGGAGCTATGACCCAAAGTGGTCTCTTCCTTAAAACCATTCAGGTATTTTGTGTTGCCCGTCTTGCAGAACTGCTCAGCGTACACCTTGTCACATGGGACTCTTGGGTCCTATTTACTCAAATCTAGAATTTTATTACAGTGCCAATTGGAGTTTGTATTATTGATCCAATTTAATGTCTTCCAGCATGTCAAACTGAAATTTCATAGAAGGTTTGCGATGAATAGTCATGGCCCTTTTAGCTTCTTTTCATATTGGCATGCGTACTAGGTGGTAAAAAACGAAAGTTTATTCAAACAGCTTGTCTATATTCCATTGCAAATTCCTTTTTGCTTATCCACGTTGATGATAATTCATCTTGCTTCCAACTTAAAGGGTGCTGCATCAATGGCCGGTCGAAAGGTTACGGTTTTACGTCAAGCAGGAGCAGCTTGCGATCATCCCATTGACCCTTCATATCCTGAAGGCCAGTATCTCAGCAATTACTTACTCCGAGTAATGTGAAGAAGGAAGAGTCAAAACATTCTACTGACCAGTAACCATTTCTGAAGAGCTGATTTCTGAAGTTGTGCCTCTAGTTTGATGTCCTATTTTAGTCATAAAGGTTAGGTGTAGAAATTTTCCGAACAAGAACAACATATGTATCTTGTAACCCTTCAAAGATTATCTTATCAGCGTATATTGCAGATCATTATTCTTTATGGAGTTTCAAAAAAACCATGCAAGAATGCTCTAAGAAAACTTACTTTGCAAAAATATGTCAAGTGGAATAACAGAATACACCTGTTTAAAACTGACAGCACTGAACAGGGATGAAGATCAGTCCACAGAATCATTTTCACTCTCGAGAATGCAATTTTCAACAAAAGAACCGTGTATGTATATTTCAGTATAATAATGTACACCCTTTCGTGTTGCTCATACACACAAGTCCACTTGATACACGTACTTTGAGAACAGCTTGTACACAAAAATTGCTATTTTCGTACAAAGATACAAGTTAACCACAAGACCAATTGTTCGATGTTGAATGCGGAAATCAACTTTCAGAGTGCATCAGTGGCCTGCAGAGTTTCTGTTCCATGACAAGTAGTTGTTATCTCCCAATTTTCTGCATGGAGACCAGAAAAAAAGATCAGCGATGTAACTTAATATGATCGGTATACGAGAGCTTATAAGCCACTAACCTTGGTTTTATCAAGTAGAGTAAGGTGAATGCAAATGCCAGGAAGAAGCAGAGTCCACCAACAGTGAGATATGCAAGACCAAGAAAATCATTCTTTCCACCAAGCCAAGTTGAAGTAGAAAGCACCAAACTCTTTTTGCCATCAAAGCTATATGTGTTGTAATTGTTGTCCAGTGTAACAGTAATGGTGTCATTTTCTTTGAGGTCCACATATATCCTACCATACAGTTTTCTGAATGTAGGAAGCGCGGCAGTTCGCATCCAAACAATAAGGTCCTCTTGCTCACTCAGCTGCACAGCAGACAGGTAGAATAAGTAACTTTCAGGGGCACAAAATGTTATCTTTTTGGCTGCTCAAAGAACTTGTCTTGGTCTATCTAATGGAAAATGATCGTGCTGAGGTCAGTTTATCTTTAAATTGGACAACCATAATATACCTGAGTAATTATTGCTTGTCAACCACATATGTAATAATAATCTTATGACACAGAGTGGAATTGAAACCCAAAAGCATACCGGTATAGATTCGTTGAGTGTTTTTCCACCTATAAGAGGACCTTTCTGAAAGTTTTTTGGGAAGACATCACTTCCAAATTTGTGGTCCCTATCACTCTTCCAAGAGATGTCTGTCTTGTCGATAGATAAGTTGTTAGTGTTGTGTTGGAAGGTATATGTATCATTGAATGTGCTCCATGCTATCAGACCACATGGAACAATAGCCATTCCATCTCTGGTCTTCTCAGGGTCACAAAGCGTGGTCTCGTTTGCCTTACTAGCATCTCTTAGCTGTTGGTCATTCCGGCTCTTAACATATCTGAATGTGAAAAATGTGATATGTAAGCAGGGAAAGTATAAGGCTCCTAGGAAAACAAAGTACAAAAAAACTGTTTGAGCAAATAAAGAAAGAGCTTTAACTGCTAAAATTGCATGTCGACGTGTCAATATCCAACATTTTAGCGATCCGGACAACAATCAGTAGGTGTCATTAGTAGTGGCTATAGGCACTTCTTCATGCAATTATGTGGGATGCCTACGCAACATTAGTTGGAAGTGGACATAAAATTAAATAATTTCCTTGATAGTTGGGTTTATTTTAGTGTACATATATTCCATGTAGTAGTTTAGACAAGTTTCTTAGGGTCAAGTCAGAGAAGCAATTTCCAGCAAAACAAAGGTCTGATAAACAAGAACAATGAATTACTCTCTCATCTATACTCCCCCTTTCCAGATTTTAGTCCACTCTTCTTCCTTCTAAAATCCTACCCCCACTTCAAGCTTATGCTGTTCAAGCCTTCCTTTGCATAATCACTATCCATTCGTGAGTTAACATTATCGACAATGCTTTCTTCTTTTATTCATTTTCAATGCTATTGGAGCAAAAACTGGACACATATTTGAGCCAAAGATCCGTTGTATTTACTTCAACGTCTTTGACATATTGGTAACCTCGTGAAGCACAGTGCATACCTCCTATGATTCTGGTAGAAGTTATTCAACTGGTAATACACAAAAATTGGCTGCTTCATATCCTTTGGGACCTGGAGACCAACATACAACGAAGAAATGTTTCAGACAAGGGTTACTTTGATTCTTAAACCAAGATACATATTTGTGAATTAACCGACACATCACACACTCTGCTACAAGATAATGCCTGGTGGTTTTTACTGTGCCATTCCAGCGATTAGACCTATAAAAGCATGCAGTTAAGCTCATTACCTTTAGTGTCCTTCGGCAGGTTTTAGATATTGTTGAGTTCTGGATGTAGGCAAGCTTGTCAGTAACATTAGACGGGACGCACGCATCATCGTATCGATCAACAATCTCAACGACCTACGGCAAAGAAACCAACAAACGTTAGCTAAAAAAAGATGGTGAAGATATATATGGTTGAATCAGCATAGGTCATATTCAGCATACCTTATTTGAAGCTAGCAACGAAGCAACACCTATCGGGACAAAAATGACACCAACAAGAACAAACACCGAAATAACCTGCATGAACATAAGCGCAACCATTTGTGAGGCGGTCCTACATATGATCTCTCTAAAGCTAAAGCTAACTCACGCCAGAAAAGATGTAATACTTGTCAACCTACCCATTTTGGAGTAAGAATTGGCTTGCAAGCTGGGAGCTCCTGCTGCGTGAACTTGGAATCTGCTTACACGAAAGAGAAGATATGAATAAATTTGGCAGCAAGTTTGGCAGTTGGACCTAAACTTCATTTGACCGAGCATGTGATTTTGGATTGCACGACTTGGTTGATGAGTCGAAGCTCAAGCTCCGGCTCTAAAGGAAGTCAACTCTCCTATCCTTAACACATGGGGCAAGAATGATGAGCAAGCTTTTCCAGGCCCAGGCTGCGTAGCCAAGTGACTAACCATATTGAACTTGACAGGATTGCATCTTATTAAACTTGCAGAGAGAAAAAAGCAATTGTACCACCAGACCCCAGCCAAAAGGAGAGGAAAGAGAGGCGCGAGATCTCACACTTGGGCTTCCTGGAGGCCCTCCTGGGCGCGCCCGCGTCCCCGGATCCGCCGGAGCTGGACCCGGCGGCGTCACCGCTGTTCATCACGCCGAACGACCAGCCCGGCCGCCAAGAAACGCCGCCGCCGGCAAACAAGCCTCCCCGCCGACAGCCGAAATGCAAGCGCCTTTTCTTGTGCGTACGTGTCCCGCGCTCGAGGTTTCGCGGGCGGGGAGAGGGGGAGGAAGGCGGCAATGGGGGGAGGGAGGGGAGGGAGGGTGCTCTCTGCTGGCCTGGCCTGGCGCTCTTGTTGCTGCCGCTGTTCCTCTTGCGAAGGTTACAAGGAAAGGGAGGGAGAGGGAGAGGGGGAGGGGGAGACGGGGCGGTTTGACTCGTGGGGGGAGAAGAGTTGGCGGTCGTGGCGTCCGCGTTGAGCCCAGCCGGCGGGCGCGACCAATGGGGAGGCCGAACTGGTCAAGAAGATGGTTCTAATTTTTGCTCCTCCGTGCCTCTTTTTCTAAGCTTGATTGATGGTTATTAGTGTAAAAAAAAAAGAGCTTGATTGATGGTCTCTGGTTTTCGGCTCGGGGTGGATGCGTAGTGTAACGGGTGGGTTGGATGGATGGAGGGGTTGGAGGGGTTTGGCTGTGTGCTTCGTGGATCTTTCGCTGGGCCATGGTGACGCGTACACAGGAGGACTAGAACAACACGGGGAGCATAACACGCGTGATAAAAAGTGTTTACTAGATGTGCTACACGTAGAATACAAAGTGCTAGTAGACATTTCTTGGTGATACCCCTAAAAAAAAGACATTTCTTGGTGATTGCACGTACGGTATTATTCTTAAAAGTTAGGGCCGTAGAAAAGCAATCCATGGGAACATTTTTGGTTTTCGGCATAATCAAGCTAAACATGGTAATCACATGTGAATAATAATAATGTCATTCATGTTTTTTTAGCAAAAAAAGCTCATTCATGTGAAACAAAAAGTCAAAAAGGCATGGAAACAAAAAATAAATCCGGATGGGCCGAGGCCCAATAGTGCGACTGCCCAGCCAACCGAAGCGAGCGTCGAGGGGTGTCGCGTTTGGTCGTCCTTCGTCAACCTGCATTCGGGTCGGGTTTGGTCGGGCCAACCTCTACCAGACCCATGCTCGAATAAGTTATCGGCCCACGGCCCTATTGATTGGTCTGGGATCAAACCCATGCCCGAACTCATCGGGTAACCTGACCCAATCGGGCACCCATCAGGTTGGACATTTCTTTTAAATTTTTATATCCTAAATTCTAAAGAGTGGAGCTGCACTTTTTGGCACTCCCGAGCACACACCTTGCGCGCCGTTGGATCCAAATCATGGCCGCCATGTGCCGAGCATGTTCTTTGATTCCAAAAAAACTTAAAAGTAGCAGTAGTCAGGGGAGACATTGTCTCTTATGTTCATTACTTTTACATATTTTGTACTTACAGCAATAGAACTATCTTTCAATGGGGGCTGGTCTATTCGTCGAGTTTCTGACGATGCAATCCATGTTTTTCAGTCTACAACCGTGGAGACTTTTTCCTTTATTTCAAATTACCATTTTTCCTGTGACCAATTGCTTCGTCGAGGGAAGCATGGAACACCTGCGTTTTTCTGACCCCTTACCAAATTGCCAGATGCCTATGATGTTTTTTTTTGCAGGATCCACCTACAAAATTCCAAAGTACATATTGGAGCACTTTTTCCCTAAGCAGGAAACCATTTTTGCCTAAACAGGACATGCAAGTTGCTTACTTCCAGATGTATCTTTTTTTTTGCTCAGAAGTGTATTCATCATTTCTGCTTAAATTCGCAAGTATTGCAGGTTTTTGAAAATCAGTTTAGCAAGTTCTTTTTTTGCCACCAGGTAGCTTATACTATCTCATATGAGTTGCTTCATAGTAGCAATGAATTTGCTTAAACATAGCATATAAGTTGCCACCTCCCTTGATTGTAGTACAGTTCATAGTAGCAAGCACCCTAAAAACCCAACATATACTAATTAGGTTTTTGTATGTTTGCCAACCTTTTCTATTTATTTATGCTTAACATAACCTCTGGTGCTCCCATTGCCACAGGCGAACCATAGTAATAAGCACTCCCTCTGTAAACCAATATAAGATCGTGTAGATAACTACTTTAGTGATCTAAACGGTCTTATATCAGTTTACAAAGGGAGTACAAGTTTTGTGTTTTGAATTTTTGCTGCAGTTTTTCTAATATCAAAATGTGTGATGTCTCCAACATAAATCAAAACCCACGTGCAATTAAGTTTATACAATTTAAAATCAGGACAATTTATTTTGCCATCATGCAACATACTAGCTCATAGCTGTTGCTTTCCCGGAAGCACCATTTTTTTTTTGCCTAAAACAGAGCATTCAAGTTGTTCACTACAACCATAAGAGGACAACAATGGTTTTGCTCAAACAGAACTTGTAACTTGCCTACTTCCACTAGACTGTTTTGCTTAAAAAATTCATATGAGTTGCTTCATGGTAGCATTGGTTTTTGCTCAAACGGAACTTGAAACTTGCCTATTTCCCCCCACCCATTTTCCCCTTATAAGTTCATGAGTGTTTGTGTTGCGATTTTCTGTTTTGTCATAAGTTAACAAGTTCTACAATTTTGAAATCAGCATCATTGTCCTTTTACTTAGGTAACATGTACTAGCTCAAATGATTTGCTTCGTGGTAGCACTATGTTTGCTTAAACAGAAAATGTAAGTTGGCACGATTTTGTAAGAAAGAAGTTCATCATACAAGCACCCCAAAATTAGGGTTTGCATTTTGTTGCCCATATTCATTTTTTGTGCTTTAAATGACCACAGTACATGAAAACATACGACCCAATTTGATTTTTAGGTCCACTGCACTAAAATGTTACTACCCTGATTTTACTTACGCTGACAGCATGCACATCAATGGTGCCAGGGCACACAAGAATGGTGACTAGCCTCCGGCAGCGTTTCATGAAGCGCTGCAACAACAACAACAACAACAACAACAACAACAACAACAACAACAACAACAACAACAACAACAACAACAACAACAACAACATCAACAGTAGCAACATCAACAACAG